GAGTTGAGGGATTAAAAAAGTGCAAAAAATTGTTGAGGGATCAAAAATGTGCATTTCTTAAAGTTAAGGGACCAAATTTAGCATTTAACCTTTTCAAAAGTCTAAGGGGAGAGCGCCCCCCTTGCACCTCCTGGCTCCGTCGCTGAAAATACCAGTCAAACTTAAAAGTCGTTCTAATCTGTTCCACTGTTCTTCCACGGCAGAAAATGATACACACAAGTTTTATTAAAAGATTTTGAATTGTATAATAAAAAATATTTTTTTATTTTTAATTATTAAATTAAAATTTTTTAATTTTAAAAAATTATTATTAAGTTATTTATATATTTAGCAACAAAAAGGAGCTTTTTAGAATTAATAGTTTTAAAATCAAAAGTTTGACAAGAAAAAAAAAAAAAAACTTCCCAAATTAAAAACCAAGCAATTACTATATATAATAGTATGCACCAAAGTTTGGCATAAAGTTTCAAAAATGCGAATATCTAATCTCATCCAATCCATATCCGAAATAAATATCGAAGTCAAGTCGTCGCATGGCTTTCCTGATAAGACATGTCTAGCTGTATCCAAAACTTTATTTCTTACTAATAAGTACTTATGTATATAATCCAACGCACATTCATGTTGACGTAGACAAAACATTATCCAAAACTTTTGAAACTTTTCCTTTGTTGAAACTTGGCTTGACCTTTTTTATTCGAATCGTAACGGGCGCTGTCTCTCTCTCACCATGTGGCATGTACAATGAATGAATTAATAATGTTTCGAAAATCACTAATAGAAAAGTATAATGAAAATTAAGTATTTTTTCACGTGATCTAAGTAATTATGTTTATTTGTGTAAAAAATAAAGTGAAATATAACATATGATTATTAGATTGATTTTTCGATCAATACTCAAATAAATATTAATTTATTAATTATGTTTTTTACAATAAAATAATAATAATAATAATAATTTTTTTTTAACAAATTCACATTTAAACCATTGCCCCGAAAAAATATATATATATATATATTCATATTTATACCCAATCTGATGACACTTAACGA